TTTCAGACAAGGGGTTGTTCAATCTCTTCTTAAAAACCTCTAGTGATGGAGCACCCACAACTTCTGAAGGCAAGCTGTTCTTACTGCTTAAGCACAGGGTTGGATTAGTAGACCTCCAAGTGGTGCCTTTGATGTAAGTGAAGAGGAGGATGCCGTTGTCCTGTTCTGTGTCTCGGTTTTTGGAGGGAGTCTCCCTTTGGATTAGGTTGGTGATTGTTTTATTGGAATTTGTTGGAGATTAATACGTTTGTGAGAGACATACAACAGGACAACGACATCACCCTCCTCCCTTACATCAAAGGCACCACTTGGAGGTCTACTAATCCAACCCTGTGCTTAAGCAGTAATAATAACAGTGCAACATTTGAAAAGGGCCATGGAGGTCTTCTAGTCCAACCCCCTGCTCAAGCAGGAGACCCTCTACCATTTCAGACAAGGGGTTGTTCAATCTCTTCTTAAAAACCTCTAGTGATGGAGCACCCACAACTTCTGAAGGCAAGCTGTTCTTACTATGTTCTTACTACCCTTTTTACATTTGTATTACTTTGTTGTGTTCATCTGTTGTAGACAATCATAGATCCCACAGTCACAGTTTGCAAGTTGGGCAGTCACATTATCTGATAAAATGCATGCATATACAGCATAAAACTTTAGGAGCCCTTTGTGTGTGAGAAAATGCATAGGAGGGCACAACAATTAAACCACGAGCGCAAGGAACTGATTTTTAAAATGTCATGTTCCCTCTTAAGGAAATTGTATGGGTTAATTTCTCCAAAACAGGGATCAAGTTATACACGACTAAAGAATATCCTGCAGGATTTTGTTTTTTACTAGCTCATAATCTTAATGTTTCCTTAGATAGAAGTTCTATGGTTTAGATGACTGTAAAACACTTTTTTTTCATCCATCTTGACAGTTCTGATAAACTCTTCAGTACCCTTTACTTTAAGGGATGACATTCATTGGCAAGAAATCAATAATGCTTTGTTTTTGGAGAAACAGGTAAGTTTTACACAACGTCTGAGTCAAGAACCATCAAATTTTCTACAAAGAGATTTGGAAGGGATTAAATGTCACTCTCTGCTTTGATTCTTCTTCATGTGATCTTTTTGTGTTCATCTTTAGATCTGGCAGAATGTGAAACAGGCTGGACTAAATTTCAAGGTAACTGCTACAAGCATTTTGAAGAGAAACTCACTTGGATGGAGGCGGAGAAACTATGCCGAAAACATCAATCCCACCTGAGCAGTATCATCACACCTGAAGAGCAAGAATTTGTGAACAGTAAGTATAGCAACTTGATATTTCTATATTTAAAAAAAAATACCCTCAAACCAATGGACTTCTAGGATTATAACACTGATACAGAATACAGTATTGATTCTGAATTTCACTTAGAAGAAACGGTTTGTCTAGATAGGTTGCCTTTTTATGGCTCAGCCTTTAAGTGGCATATTTTAATTAGACTGCCCCAGTGCAGCTATATATTATTATCATGAACTGTAGTGTACAGAACAGTGGTGGGTTTCAAAAATTGTTTGAACCTACTCTGTGGGTGTGGCCTCCTTTGTGGGAGTGGCTTGCCACCCATGTGACTGGATATGAAGATGCCGACGACACTTGTCAGAACCACCTTAAATTACCTCACACTCAGCACTGGCATGCATAAGAATATGATGTCAACTTGTTTTTTAAAAGGCATCTTTGGTTTGCGTTAAAAAAAACTTCAGCACACGCAATGTTCTGATTGCACCACAAACGCAGTAGTCATCCTTACCTTTCAAAGAGGCACTTAGCTTTATAAATATGAGCATGATAGTGTAGAATAATCATATCCAAGGACCAGTGGTGGGTTTCAAAAAATTTTGGAACCTCTTCTGTAGGTGTGGCCTGCTTTCCGGGTCCACTGGTGGAACCTCTTCTAACCAGTTCGGTAGATTTGACGAACCGGTTCTACCGAATAGGTGCGAACTGGTAGGAACCCACCTCTGGCGCAGAAGCTGTGTTAAATCCAAATAGTTCAGCTGACAGAGCCACAAGTTAATCTACTGGTATTAACCTTCAAAATACCATTAGAATCCATAGAAATGTCAAATAATGTAGTCCTGATCAAATGATCCAACTTTATATTCCTTCCTTTTGTGCTTCACAATCTTAGCCTGTGATTTGTCCCAGTTGCGTTGCAGGACTTGGTCTTTCAGCATTCTTTGATATTCCAAAACATTTTCAAAAGTTTTATCAAGCTACTTTGTGAAGCCAATAAAGAGGCATTACCCAGGATTCCTTGTTATAACTGCTGCTTGTTCCTTTCTTGATTTATCTCTTGTATTTCCATTTCAGTAATCTTTTCAGTTGTATTATATTCCACATTTTCAAATTCTATTTCAAGTAGAAGTTTAATATTTTATTCACGTTCTAATCTCCCCAAAGAATTTCAGTAAACAATTGGATGCATTGTAAGTATGCTAAATATATCATCATTCAATTGATATTCAGTAGTTATTATGGGACAAGATAGATTAGACTATAGATTCTTAAACTGTAATATGTAAATTGCTAGCAATCTCTGCTACTTATCTGGAAGGAGATGTTTGGAATTTTTAAAATCTAAGTATTGAATGTCCTTAGAATATCCAAGCAACTTGAAATTAAGTTATTAGTTTTATTTACTATGGAAAATTGAAGCATGTACAACTTTGCGGGAGATCATAAATTCATCATTAATAACAAATTTGGGTTTTAGATCCTGCATTCATTTCATCAATTTTTCCCTTGATTTTTTTTCCAATCTATTTGACTGCTGCTTAGTGAATTCATAGTATTTCCGCTTTAGAAATAAAAACTGCATGGAAATTTGATAGATCACGAACACAGCCCAAATAGTTGGATGTGTTCATTCTATATTAACATTGATCAAGCAACAAAACAAGCATTTCAGAGCTTAATTTTTATTTTATTTTAAAAAGGAAGTCAAACAAACTTGATAATAAGATGGGAGGCTATGAAATCTCTTATATAAAGGGAATATATAAGCCATAGAGGTCCAGTTAAAACTTCACCATTAGCAAGTAGATTAGATTTAGAGAGAGAGATGATTTCTAAGTAAAGTCTAACAAGATTCCCAAATATATATGCAATTACAAAAAAGAAAAGAAAATAGCTAGTAGTTTATAATAAAATCAGAATCGGGGGGGGGAGGGAGGTGGGGTGTTAGGGGGGATATATAGTATGTGCTAGATTTTAAAGTAACGTGACGGCACTTGTATACTGTTGCTCTTTAATTCCACTGTAAAAATAGGACAAGCTGAATATATTAATAGATTGTAGAAATACACCGAAGGGAGGAGTAGAGGGATAGAAGAAAGAGGGGTAGAGAGGGTGGGAGAGAGGACTGGAGGGAGGGGGAGAAGGAAGGGAGGGAGTGTATCGGGAGAGAGGAGTGGTAGAGGGAGAGGGGAAGTAGGGTAGAGGGGTATGATGGAGGGAAGATGGAAAGTTGGAGGGGGGCGAAAGAAAGGGTGTATGGAGGGTCGAAGAGGTACATTGGGTTTCTATTTTTGGGGTATTGTTGACAAGAGGAATGGCTGTGTTTATTGTTTAATGTTATATGGCCCCGGTTATGCACAGTATATATGTGACTGTACGAAAATGAAATGGAAAAAAATAAAAACACATTTACGAGAAAAAAAAGTGAAAAAAGTGAAAAATAAAATCAGAAAGGTTAAGAATATCTGCATTTGACCTTCCAGCTTATTTTCTTTTATAAAATGGTCCTGGTTATTAGGTACTTTAGTACACCTTTGGGCCATATGATACTATATGAGGATGCCTGGTGTTTTTTTTTCCTATTAAAAAAACATACAATTTAAAGAGACCTTTCATTTCTTGGTAATGAAAAATGGGACCATTTTAGAAAACTATTTGATATGGGTGTCATGGTGTACTAAAGGTCTGTAAATCATTCACAATGTAATTTGGATTTTCAAATGGATTCAAAGACCTGACTTGACCTAATTCAGACTTCTGAAATAATTTGAAACAAGGGTTTTTCCCCAGATGCAAAAAAAGGTCCCTTGAATTGCCGATTATGATCCACATCAATTCAGAGGCATCCAATCCGAAGCTTCAGATCATTTCAGATTCCAATCAACGAATTGCGTTTATAAACTGATGGTTTGCATCGGGGTGGGCTTCAAAAATTTCAGCAGCAGGTTCTCTGCCCGGTTGCTGGGTGGGCGTGGCCATGGTGGGTGTGGTCTAGTCAGCCTCCTGCACAATAGCAGGGGGGGGGATTTTCACCTTCCCCAGGCTCCGGAGGCTTTCCTTGATGGCTCAGAAGAAGCTTCTTGGATAAGAAATGAAATGTCTTCAAAGAAAAACCAGAAAGTCCAGTTGCCTCTTTTAAAAAAGCACCTTTGGGACAGAATCCCATATATTCCCTATATTCTCTACAGATAGATAATATGGGGAAAATTTTCCTCAAGGATTCTCTAAAAGAATGTAAATGACCAACTTCCATTCCCCACCATCCAGTCAAGAGCTGAAGAAGCTTCTTGGATGAGAAGCAAAACATCTTCAAAGAAAACCCAGATGGTCTAGTTGCCTCTTGAAAAAGCACCTTTGGGACGATAATAAAGGTTGTGTAGCAATCTTGTGCATCAATAATAAAGCCATTCCCATAGCTGCTAGTAGCAACGCATTACCATTAATTACTTTCCAGGGCAGGGAAGAATTTTTAAGGGTATGTGAAGACTGAATCACTCCAGTCCTCTATGCAGTATTTTCTAAAACTAAACCAGAATAAATAGCTCATTATCACTTACTGAATGAAAGAAACTGTTCCTCATTTAAAGTGATCATTACTTAAACTAGAGCTGTGCAGTACTTCGGATTCAAAAGCAAGAAGATGCTTCAGAGTCTGTAGACGCATAACCGCAGCATCTCTCGATAACTCCTTAAAACTTGTGTGTCTCCTTCCAGGGATCCTTGTGCAACTCAAGAGACAGATGTGCACTGCTGAGAAAAGATGCAGCTGCTTTAAAGAACTGTAGGCAGTTTAGGTGCTCCTTTTTGCATTGAATTCAAAGTGCTCCTTAGTTGAGTTTGAATCTCGCCCCTTAGGCTCAAAGTCCGGAGAGTCATCCTCTGCCTCCAAATAAACCAGCATTCATTGTTAATTTCTCTTTCTCTCTGTGTTATCTAGGCAATGCACAGAACTATCAGTGGGTTGGGCTGAGTGACCGAGCTGTAGAAGATGACTTCCGCTGGTCTGATGGACATTCTCTGGTAAGTTAGACTCTGGAAGATATCAAATATAGAGATGTTTCTGGACTGTTGGGAAATCAATCCAACAGGACCTCTATTTGGGGAGTGCCAATTTGAGAAAACACAACAAATCATCCTTCTTACTCTAGAAGTATATTATCCAAGTCTTCAGATCTTCTAGAGCAGGGATGGTGAACCTTTTTGACACCAAGTGCCAAAAAGAGAGCACGTGTACAAACTCATTGGGGCTGCAACCTGGAAGAGGAGCGACCCAGGGCACATGCGGGCACCAGAAAATGAACCTCTGGTTTCCGGTGCACACATGCGCACTGTCCAGCTCATCTTCCGGTTACTGGCGTGCATGCATGCAACAATCAGCTGGCCAGAGCACATGCTCACACCAGAAAACGGAAGACCAGGTCTTCTAGTTTCTGGCACTGACGCACGCATGAAGGCCAGATGATTGTCACCTGTGCATGCACGTCAGTCACCTGGAAGATGCCGCGCATGCCGGGCAACATGGCTCCATGTGCCACTTTGGGCACGTGTGCCTTAGGTTCACAGGTGGTCCTAGAGCAACCCAAAGTCTTAGCTACAGCTTCCAGAACCCACCAAATAATTATTTTTTTATGTTACAGGAGGGGAATGGTTAAATATGCAGGGAGTAATACTACTCATAGTGCCTTTCCATTTGTACTGATATTGAGAGGGCGATCAAATTAAATCAGTATTGATCTTAAGGGCTCCACCCTTGATCTTAGCAATGCCCCCTTTAGAATGTAGCTCTCATGAAGCCAAGATAGTCCATGGTCCAAAAAAGAGATTGGGCATCTCAAAGCAGGATGAAGTAGGCATCTTCTTTAATTAAAATTCCTTCCTTCCTCAAAAGCTGCTTGTGATCCATAATTTTGACCACCACTTGTCGGCTGTGACCAGGGGGGCATTTGCCCAGGTTCGCCTGGTGCGCCAGTTGCGGCCCTACCTG